CGTCATTAACTCTTATTTTCCAAGTTCCTAACGTTTTGTCCGTCGAACCTAATTTAGGACGACTTATTGAAATACAAGCCTCCACTGTGAAAACTACTCTACAACAATTTCACAGAATCAGACGTTAAACCGCTGTGAACGTTATCACTTCGTCTATTTTCTCTCTCACTCTCCATTTCTTTCTTTCTTTATCTCACTTAAACCAAACATCGTTTCTGATATGTCTTTTCCGACTTTCTCGGAGATCAAAACTAAATAGTCCATTATTTATGAGATATTGGCAGAGAATAACGTACACATTAACTAGCTAAAGAAAAAAGCAGAATTATAAAACAATATTAATGGTTTTTTTACTTGTATCTTAGAATTAGTAGATATACTTTTTCCATTAATAGGGTATCAGATGTTTAAACGGGCGCATTTTTAGTGTCTTTCCGTGGGCGCTATTATACACGTCTCTGCTAAGTATGCATGGTTATCTTTTAAGAAGACCACCATAAGTCTGTACACGTGTGTTGATATATAAATAAGCGGTGACGCTTTAAAAGGGCAACAGAATTGGTTTCAGTTGATATAAATGTAAAATAAGAAGACGAGAGAATATAAGAAATAAAAAAAGATAAAAAAATAGAAACTATCAATGACAACAAACCAAGAAAAATAATTTTGTATTTTAAGCAATGTATTAGGAAACAGGAAAATTTCATTAGAAACTAAGGTATCCCATTGATAAAATGTAAATAAATTTATTCGTAATGTCTCTTTTGTAATTCAACCTGATTCAAAATAAAAAGACCAGTAAACTAAAAAGTTTTGATAATAAAATTTTTCAAAGCTAGTCGGAAAATATCCTTAAAAACAAAGAAAAAAGTCCTGAATAATATCCCAGTCCTCTTACATGCCAGTGAATGCTGGATAATCTCTTTAAAGATGAGATTTGAAGCAGCAGAAGGATGTTGAGAATACCATGGACAGAACGACGAATTTTTAGAGAGAATGGAAACAGAACGTACACTTATACTTAATATCCGGAAGAGATAGTTAAAATTTCTAGGGCACATAATGAGGAAAGTGGGCTTGGAAACATTAACACACCATAGGACATACTAAAGGAAGAAGGAACAGAGAATAACAGCGCATAACCTACCCAACGTTCTTGTGTAAATGATCGGCAGGACAGGGTGCATGAGAAACAGAAAAAAGATCTCATTTTTATTCAACCCACAAGGTCTGTCTCTAATTTTTTATTATATATTTTTTCAATTGCCGAATGAGACGTTGAATATCTTGATTGCAATTAAATTGTCTAAATTTCATGTCTTTTTCTTGTTTTGTTTAATGTATTTTGGTCTATCTCAGTCATTATTAAAAACTGGGGGTTGTCAAAATGGGAGACAATATTTTTTTTGTCGTTATTTATTTACTGGAATTGTAATTTCAATCACTTCAAAGTGACGTTGTATTCAACGGAAAAAGCGTATCGAAAATTTATATATGTTACTCTTGTATACGTATTGAATATTTTATACGCAATTCAATCTAAAATTTCCTGTTGGGAAAGATATTTTGTTTAATATGCTTTGTTTCTTTTGTATCATAATAGATTATACATACACACACACACACACACACACACACACACACACACACATATATATATATATCGGCGAAATACTGTTTCGCTGTATCACAACTAATCAGTATGAGGAGGACATCCGATCACTTCAAGCCTGGACCGGAACCCGACCGATTACCGACCGGCAGAGAGAAAGGCTAATTTTTGCGTATTTATCTTTTCATAAAAGACGCCAGTGATCCAGAGAGTTCAATCCTTTGTGAGAGTCTTGCATTATCAGAAGTAAACGTCATTGTTTACAAATTCGCGTTTTCTCGCCACAGTGCTCGACCGAATTATTTTTTTTCCGGGAGCTAATATATATATGTGTGTGTGTGTGTGTGTGTGTGTGTGTGTGTGTGTGTGTGATTTCAGTCCAAGCAAGACAAGAGAGCCCTTAAGACGCAGACGGTTACGGAGTTTGAACGATTATAAAAAAAAAAAATATTAAGGAGCGAGAACGAGAAAAGAAATTAAGAAGGCAGAAGACGACGATTGACATTGCATTTAAATTTTTTGAAGATCAAACGTGACTGAAAAGCAAGAACCCGGAAGAGACTTTCAATAAGTGAAACTGTTAGCATAGAACTAATCATTACAACTAACCATTAAAACTAACCATTACAGCTAACCATTACAGCTAACCATTTCAGCTGTAAAATGATGAGACTTTGACGCCAAACTTGGCTTGTGTTGAAATTCAGAGAGTCTAAGTACCATAGTGGAAAGTTTACTAAAAAGTATTTTTAGAATAAGAGACAAGGAAGTAACATCACAGCAGTGGGACTGAAGACGTGATGCCAGGTCAGGACCAATAACATTTCAGAGTCTTCTTTGAATTTTAGCAAGGGTCTCTAAATATATAGCAAGAGCACCAGACCATTTGGCAGCAAAATTCGAAGCATAGACGTAACATAGAGTGAAGATTGTGTGTCTTCGCGAAGACCATTCTACTTCGAACATTGTAGACTGGCGCTACAGAATCACAAACAAAATATGTAGCAAATAACAGAAGCCACGACACTTGTGGGCGTTCAACAGATGGAACAGCTAAAATGGGTATCACGTGTAAAATATATATATATATATATATATATATATATATATATATATATATATATATATATATATATATATATATAGTACATTGACATCTTAATTATATATTAAAAATTTGTATATTAGAAATAATATTCAAATTTTAATACCAGAACGAAATTTTAGAATTCATCCATATAGAAAAATCTCTATATGAATTAATTCTATACGCGCATATACACGTATTTATATTAATCATTCCTTTATATATATATATATATATATATATATATATATATATATATATATATATATATATATACGTCTGTGTTTTAGTTTACATATAAAAATAAGGATGTATATACGTATTTATCAAAATCAGTTTTTTTTTTTTCTGAAGCGAATATGGTATATGGAATATTTTCATTTTTGAAATTTGAATATATTTTATTCCATTTAATTATTTAAAAACTTTTGTCAGAAGCAGGCATCTGCGGAGATGGAAACGTTTTTATCAATGAAGAATTACCGAGCAAAATATGAACAATTCATCTTAATCAGATATAGAGAGAGGTAGAAAGCTGAGTATCGCGGAAAAAACAAAAAAAAAAAAAAAAAAAAAACCAAACCAGAAGTGGTTCATGGAATGTCGTACGATAAAAAAGAAACATGGCCCGATAATCAGCTGCTGGGATGAACGTATATGTTATGAGAATTTTTCTGATCCCAAAATAGAAACTACTTTGTGCCGAATATTAAATCTTTAATAAAAGAACGTTTGACACAAAACATGATAGATAGAAACATGAAAATGGGCATGCAATAAAAAGCGTGCATATATAATATTACGTTTCCTGCAGGCCCTTCAGGATAACAAAGATGAAATAACTAATAACCCATAATACATTTTCCTTAAAAGCAAATTCTAGTCGTTAGAACTGAAAGAAAATATAGCTTAATAAAATAAAACGAAGAAAATTAAAATAAATGTCAAAAAATAAATACGTGAAAATAAATAAATAGCATAAAGAAAATCAAGGTCAGGACAGGACTGAAAACAAATAACATACGTAAACAAAAAAAAATATAGAAACAGGTTTTCCAACTTCCGCTAAATCCACATTGGTCATATATATATATATATATATATATATATATATGTGTGTGTGTGTGTGTGTGTGTGTGTGTGTGTGTGTGTGTGTGTGTGTGTGTGTGTGTGTGTGTGTGTGTGTGTGTGTGTGTGTACGGAAAATTACTAACGAAGTGAAAAAAATCTTTTTGTCTTTTAGGACTTCATTGAACTGAAGGAATATTTTTGTTCATATAACTACGCATGCGTACGAATAGCAGGACGGATATAAAAAGGATACAAAGTTGGTTACAATTATGCAGAAAGTGAAAGCGCTAAAATTATTGGGATGTTGAAATTTGAAACGTTTAAATTAATTTTTCCCTTTCATAGATGGATCTGGGTATACAATCTAGACGATTTCGTTAAGTTTCTTTTTCTTTCTTTCTTATATTTTCATTACTCTTGTTATTACGTATTTCATTTTATTGGTATTAAGAATTAAGTATAATTTGTGCAATATTGTTCTGGTAAATCAAAATTTATATATCATCATCTCCCATTCATATATATATATATATATATATATATATATATATGTGTGTGTGTGTGTGTGTGTGTGTGTGTGTGTGTGTGAGTGAGAGAAAGAGAAAGAGAGAGAGAGAGAGAGAAAACGAAAGAGAGAGAACGCTGATCCAAGGAGGAGTACCACATGTTTTAATGAGCGTTAAAGTCACTATTCAAATTCAACGTTGATTCTATAGCTACACTGTTTTCATCTATCTATCTATCTATCTATCTATCTATCTATCTATCTATCTATCTATCGAAGTCTGTTGATAGCTTTCTATCTGTCTATGTATCTATCTCATTCTGTTCATTATATATGTATCTAAGTCTGTTCATATCTATCTATCTATCTTAAGGAATATCCACCTTCACTAAATTATTTATGCCAATGTTTGTCGTTTTAATAAGCGGCAGGTGGACATAGGCCGGCTTGCACTGGAGTCAAAAAACTAAACATAGGTTTGGTTTTCACATGAGTCAAAATGTTGTGGCAAATCAGTAACGACTTTTGGCTGTGTTTAACCCTCTGCAGGATTTTATTTTTGGAAAGCAAAGCATTTAGTGTATTCTTGACCCCAAAAGTCAGGCCTAATTGAAAAATGAAAAATAAGATCCGTTATTATATATATATATATATTTTTTTTTGCTTTTTGATATATCTAAGAATTCCCTATTTGCGCCAGAGAAAGAAAACTTTTATTTTCTACAATGGCAAAGTATTTCATTATTTGGCTTATCTATCTATCTATCTATCTATCTATCTATCTATCTATCTATCTATCTATCTATCTATCTATCTTTTTGCCTGTCTGAATGTGTGTCTGCGTGTGTATGTGTGTGCAAATGTATTATCTATCTGTCTCAGTTCATTATCTATCTATCTATCTATCTATCTATCTATCTATCTATCTATCTATCTATCTATCTTATTGCCTGTCTGGATTTGTGTCTGCGTGTGTGTGTGTGTGTGTGTGTGTGTGTGTGTAAATGTATCATCTATCTGTCTCTGTTCATTCTCTCTCTCTCTCTCTCTCTCTCTCTCTCTCTCTCTCTATCTATCTATCTATCTGCGTGCATCTCTCTCTGTTTCTGTCTCTCGGTGAATGTGCATGTTTGTGGTATGGCTGGTTTACACGGACCGAGTTTTAGGAAGTTTTTCGAAGCCTGTTGCAGGTCCTCTGATAGCCACGAGACTCACGCTGAAAATTTATGGCGTTGCCCTCTCTTTTCTGCTTCTTCTCTGAGTTTAGCTTCGTCGCATCTCCCTGTCAGCAGCCTCTATTTATTGTCGACTGGCAGTAGACTGTTCCACGGGAGATTAAGATCCTTGTTAATGGAGACCATATACCTCTTTTTATGACGCCCACTTCCTAATGGGCCAGAAACCAGATCCCCAAATAGGATCCCTTTGAAAGACAGTAGTTTTCCATTCCCGTCATAGTACCCTACCTCAAATGAAGGGAATATATTACAGTCTGCTTTCAAAGCACGTGCCCTTGACTGACGAGCATTTCCGCATAATTGAGAAGCCACTTCAATGCAGAATGGTGCAAACGTAGCGTTGTAGCTACAGAATGTGTAGGCTGTCCCAGATTGGCAAACTTTGATGACCTGAACTCTGTGGGGGGAGTGGTTGAACCCAGCAGGAATGGAATTCTGACAGTGATGGATTGCTTTCATTTCAGTTTGGATGTAACGCCGAAAAAGCGCGAAGACACTGAGAAGGCGGCAAGAATTAGACAATTCAAAATACCTCGTTGCATCCAGATTCCTTACTGAGACAAGCTGGCACGTGGAAATGAAATTTTGGCCAACCGATTGACAGTGTCCCCATCGATCATATATCACCTTCACGCCTCCTTTAAGAACGATGCTATAACTACTGTCCCTCATAAAATAAAGCGATTTAAACGAAATATTAATCATCGATGACGCAGTCTATGATGCAGCGTCGGGGGATCTGAAGCCAGAGGTGACACAAAAGGCACTGGGAAGTATCCAGGTAGACGTATATGGTGCTGGTATATGACCCTAGATTCGGCTCCATATTTAAGATAAAATATATCTTCTTAGTTAAAACTTTTGCAAATAATTAACTTTGCACAATTTCTCTATATAAAACAGAGGATGTCTGTGTATCTGTCTGACTGTGTGACACGTTTTCCCTCGAGATCCATCCAGCCAATTTTGACCAAACTAGGCACATACATTGTACTATGTAAGAGATAGGTTCGATAAATTTTTAAAATCAACAGTCGATAAAGCCGATCAAAAATCGATAAATTCAACTGCTTTCCTCCAATTATGTTCAAACTCGGTATGTAGGTTACTTACACCATGCCGAGCTCAACGATGCCTTATTTTAATTTCCACACCACTGCGTTTAGCGAAAAACCGCGAAAACCTAAAAATCGATTTCAACACAAATCTTAAATTAAAAACTCTCTTAATTTTCAAGCAATCTAATACAAACTTCACTCAATTGTAGCCAACAATAAGTTCATTGTTTAACAGTCATTTAATTTGATAATTGAGTCCACCCAAAATGAAAACCCTCGTAAATAGCAAAAAACGGCGATTTTTACTGGTTTCTTTCTTATTTTTCGTTGATCTGTCAACCAATTTTCATGAAACTTAGCAATTGTTTTTTAATGTATCCTCTTTTACATCTATGGTAGCACACTGACAAATTGAATTTCAAAAATCTCCAAAATAATTGTGGTCTGAAGTGGGTCTTCATGTTGCCTGTCTGATCTCTTCATGTCCTCGACTAACTTCGATTGAATAAAGACAGACTACTTCTGTTTTATGAGTAATTGCATTAATTCTAAATGTTCTTTAATGAAAATACTTTAAAGCAATTGAAGAAGATAAACTCTGTTACATCTAAACGTGCCACTGTGTTTGCTCCATTCTGATTGAAAGCATTTTTCTGATCGATCAGCTGGGTATGGTTGCTAGTAGATAAATAAATGTGAACAGACAGACAGACAGATAGATAGATAGATAGATAGATAGATAGATAGATAGATAGATAGTCACACATTAAGAAATGGACAAAGTCCGACAATTATTTTAAGACAATTTTTTTATGTTTATATATAGATAGATAGATAAAGAAGCAGGAAGTGAGAGAGAGAGAGAGAGAGAGAGAAAGAAAAGGAGGTAGAGAGATGAGCAATGTAACATAAATAAACGTGAACAGACAGACAGATAGATAGATAGATAATGAAGCGGGAAGTGAGAGAGAGAGCGTGAAAGGAAGAGAGGGAAAGAGATGAGCAATGTAATATAGATAAATAAATGTGAACAGATAGATAGATAGATAGATAGATAGATAGATAGATGCAATGAGACTTAAGTTTTCTTTTCTGTTAAGAGTATACTTGATATAGACATTTACCTGTAATTTGTCTTTCAATAATGGCGCCCTTGAATAATCTTTCTTTCCCTTAAGTATATAGTCAAAAGGTTTAGGGGCTAAGAGAATTAATCTCCTGTTCTTTTGGATATGAAAATCTTTGTGTATATATGATCACGTGATTAATGGCTATGCTTCACCTTCCTGCAAAGAAGCTGAGGCTGAAAGAAATACTTACAATCGTTTCCTCACTATTCGCATATACACGCTTAGAATATTGTTGCCATTTATGGTTCGGTTCCCTTGATACCTAGCTTGAGCGCCTTGATAAAATCCAAAGAAGAATCAGCAATATTATCGGTCATGATCTGGCGACTCGGCTTTTGTCACTTTCCCACAGGTGAAACGTTGCCTCACTGTGTCTTTTTCATGGTAATTGTTCGGATGAGCTCTTCGCTATGGCACTCGTACTTTTTGAATTTAAGCGCAGTACTAGACTGGCGTCGGGATCTCATCAATTTATACTTGAGCTGTCTAGATGTAACCGTAAATTCTAGGCTAGCAGTTTCTTTTCTCGCACTTCTCGCTTGTGGAAAAGACTTTCGAATCCATGCTTTCCAGCCAACTTCAATCTGCAAAAATTTAAATGCAATGTCAATCGCTATCTACTATGCTCTCGATTACTCTTTTCTCCTTTTTCTCATTTTTAATGTTTCTCTTCCTAATTCCTCCATAACCTGTAACCCCTTGCATTTTATTGGCTGTACTGCCTTGCTTGGCGTGATACCGAAAAAAAAAATATTTTCTCTTTCTTCCCATTTAACACTTTCCAACAATATTTTCATACACAAAATATGATGAATCCAGTAACCTTCTGTGTCTTAGTGGCTTTATTGCCTTGCATGGGGTGATACCGATTTTAAAAAAGAAAAAAATTCTTAGCGAATCGATTAAATGATCAAATACATTATGGTTTAAGAACGATTAATTTAACCAATTTGTATTTTAAACAAAGAAGAACGAAGGGACACGGACTCGGTGCATATAAATGCGACACACGCTTATTGTTTCCTCGTGCGCACGCGCAATACAATTTGTGGCTGCTTTTATTCCTCGCATTTACTGGGAAAAAAGTTTATGCAATGCATTGTGGGCACAAAACAAAACAAAATATCTTCGTTTCTGGCGCATACGATGCAATTGATGCAAATATTTGGAAAGAGAAGGGCAGCCCTAAATTACTGGAGGACGGAAAATCGGTGGCTATCGAGAGTTTCAGGGGAAAAGAATAATAAATAACAAATAAACCGATGTCAAATAATGATTTCGGGTGCGAATGGCTAAAAGAAAAGCTTTTGTAAATAATTAGTCCAATTTTTATGACAATTTGCGCACTGTCGTAAATCGTTCTTGCTATAAGTGATTAATATTCACAGCACGCGCATGTGCTACAACAGAATTAAACGAAGGCGGACAGACACGCATACAAAAACACACACACATAAGCAAAAACACACACAAACACACACACACACACACATATATATATATATATATATATATTCGGTTTTATTTGAGAGCGTGAATTTTCAGAATAGAATGTATTTTGAAGTCGACATGTACACGTTTAAAGATATATATATATATAAACACACTTAAAACAACACTTAATAATATTAACTTTGAACATGGACACAATATCTTGACCGTGTTTTGAAAAATGAAAACATTTTCTAAAACATACATGTAACAAACTATTTCTTATTTAACACTTAAAATATTTATTCCTTAATAATGGCTAAATGTATAGCCGAAAGCGCTCGGATAAAAAGAACATTCGGACTGTTTTTATATAATTTATCATCCGAAAAAAAATTAATTAGATCGCATGAGAAATTGTATAAAAACTAAATAAAAACTCCTTGTCTGTCGTATTCAATGAAATGTGCATGAAGGAAGGATTGCTGCCTAAATACACACACACACACACACACACACATATATATATATATATATATATATATATATATATATATATAGATATTATTAGTTGTCAATATATATATATATATATATATATATATATATATATATATATATATATATATATATATATATATATATATATCCCAAGAGGATAGAATCCAAGTAGAACTCAATGGGCACGACAGAGTAAGAATATAATATAAAAAGCTCAAACACTAATATTCCATGGTTATAATTTAATCTTAATCACGTTCCAATTCATTTTTGAATTTGTCGGTCTGATGAATTGCATCGTGTTTACGATTCCAATGTAATAAATTATAACCATGGAATATTAATGTTTGAACCTTTTATATTATATATATATATATATATAAAGACATTTTTTAGGTTTATACGTTCTTTTTATAGATACAAATATTTAAGTAAATGCTCTGTTTATAATAAACAGTATTGACAACATTTACTGGCCTGAATGTCCGAGAAATTTTTTATAGAAAATATGCGTCCTCCGACAAGAATCGAACCTGTATCCTATATGAAACCGTCCGGTTAACAAGGTCAATTTTACTGTTTAAAACACAATTCTCTATGATTTTCTCTCATATATTCATATCTGCTCGATGCGTATCCAAATGTAAACAAATGACGTCACACATTATGAAATGGACAAAGTCTGACAATTATTTTTTAAGACATTTTTTGTGTTTAAAAACAGTAAATCAGAAACTAAATTGTTTCATGTCAATTAATTTTGCAAATTCTTTTATTGTATCCATATTTACTGTGTTCATTCGAGTATTTTCGATTGTCGTTACACGTGTTATCAAGAATTGCGTGTTATTAGGCTTGCATATTTATCAAATTCCGACATTTCTTAGCTTACTGAAATCAATTTCAAATCACTTAGATGTGACGTCATTTACAACTGTTAAACTGAATTTATACGTGAATTTTCTTTTTATACAAACATCAGTTTACGATCTGCGATGTAGAAACTACTCTATTTAATG